CCTTCTCTTCTCCAGGCTGAACAGCCCCAACTCTCTCAGCCTTTCCTCACAGGAGAGGTGTTCCAGCCCTCTAATAATTTCTGTGGCCCTCCTCTAGACCTGCTCGAACAGGTCCGTGTCTTTTGTGTGCTGACGACTCCAGAGCTGGACACAGGACTCCTGGTGGGGTCTCACCAGAGCAGAGTAGAGGGGCAGAATCACCTCCATCTACTTGCTGGCCACCCTTCTTTTGATGCAGCCCAGGATACGGTTGCCTTTCTGGGCTGCTAGCGCACATTGCCAGGTCATGTTGAGCTTCTCGTTAACCAACACCCCCAAGTCCTTCTCCTGAGGGATGCTCTCAATCCATTCTCCACCCAGCATGTATTGATGCTGGATGTTGCCCTGATCCATGTGCAGGACAGTGCACTTGACCTTGTTGAATCTTGTGATGTTCACACAGGCCCACTTCTCAAGCCTATCCAGGTCCCTCTGGATGGCACCCCTTTCCTCCAGCACGTCAACCTCACCACTCAGCTTGGTATCATTGGCAAACTTGTTGAGGGTGCCCTCGATCCCACTGTATCATTGATGAAGATATTAAACAATACTGGTCCCAATACAGACCCTTGAGGGACAATATTTGTCGTTGACCACTACCCTCTGTATGCAACCATCCAACCAATTCCTCATCCACTGAACAGTCCACCCATCAAATGCATATCTCTCCCATTTAGAGAGAAGGATGTTGTGGGGCACCATGTCAAAGGCCTTACAGAAGTCCAGATAGATGACATCTGTTGCTCTTCCCTTGTCCACTGATGTAGTCACCCCATCATAGAAAGCCACTAAGTTGGTCAGGCAGGACTTGCCCTTGGTGAAGCCATGCTGGCTGCCTCGAATCACCTCCCTGTCCTCTGGGTGCCTTAGCATATCTTCTAGGAGGATTTGTTCCATGATCTTCCCAGGCACAGAGGTGAGGCTTACAGGTCAGTAGTTCCCAGGGTCCTCCTTTCTACCCTTTTTAAAAATGGGCACAAGGTGGGTCTCGACTCAGCCATGCCAGTCTCTTGCCTTCTTTTCCTGGTTTCTTACACCTGGGGATTGAGAGCTCTTGCGCTTTCTGGGCAGCGTCCTTAAAGATCTGCCAGCTCTGTTCCGCTCCCTTGTCCCTGAGGGTAGTTTCCCAGGGGATCCTATTGACTAACTCCTTGAAGAGCTCGAAGTTTGCCTTTCCAAAATTCTGGGTCCTGACTTTTCTCTTCGTCTGATCCTTATCCCTCAGGGCTGGGAACTCCACCAGTGCATGATCACTGCAGCCCAGGCTGCTTCCTGTCTTGACGTCACCAACCAGCTCACTTGTGTTGGTGACCAACAGTTCAGTATCACATCGCCTCTGGTAGGGCTGTCTGTTAACATTACCTGGCTTAAGAAGTTATCCTTCATACACACCAGGAGTCTCCTGGATTGCCTTCAGCTTGCAATGCTATTTTTCCAGCAGATGTCAGGGTGGTTCAAGTCCCACAGCAGGATGAGAACCTGGGAGTGCAATGCCTCCTGTAGCTGGAGTAAGAAGTCTTTGTCAATAGGCTCCCCTTGATCGTGTGGCCTGTAGCAGACAGCAACCACAAGGTTCCCTTTGTTGCCTTGGTCTCTGATTCTTACGCATAAGCTTTCAACCTGCTCTTGGCTGTTCTTCAGACACAGCTCTTCCCACTCTATCCATTTCTTGATACAGAGGGCAATGCCTTCGCCCCTTGTTCCTTGTCTGTCCCTTCTGAACAGCCTGTAGCCATCGATAGCTGCAGTCCAGTCATGAGATTCGTCCCACCAAGTTTCAGTAACGGCAAATAGGTTATAGCTTTCTAGCAGCGTGGTGGCTTCCAGCTCCTCCTGTTTGTTGCCCATGCTGCGTGCGTTGATGTAGAGGTACTTGGTGTAGAGCTCAGCTGTCGGCCATGTCACCTTCTTAGAGGAGCACTCCTTAGTTTCCCTGTTGGCGCCTATTACCTCAGGAGCCTCTGGCTCATCTCCATAAGACTTCTGCTGCTGTGTAGCCAGCTTGTCTCAGAGCAACAGGCAGAGGGCCCTCGCTAGCACCCATCCCTCTAACCTTGACGTGTCATCCCACAGCTTGTCATGGGCAAGTCTGATATTATCATCCTCCCCCTTCAAGTCTAGTTTAAAGCTCTGCCAGTAAGCCCCACAAGCTTCTGAGCAAAGACCCTCTTCCCACTTTGAGAAAGGTGAAGCCTGTCTGACGCCAGCAAGGCTGTTGCCCTGTAGGCCATCCTGTTATCTGGTGAATAAGTTGCTGGAGATGTTGTCAGCAAGCCAAATGCACCAAAATAGTGGTATTTATGATGCAGCAATTTGCTATGTGAGTAATCCATAATAAATTTTTATCAAACAAAACGGTATTCCCAGATCATTACATCTTGGTTTTACTGTTTCATCTGTGGTAACTTTTTGTCTGGGTCATTTCCTCACAATTGAGTTAAATACGTAGTAGTTTCAGAAATAGAAGCTATATATGCTTGCAGAAACAGGATAGTCTTCTTAAGATGAAGTATCCTTCATTAATTTTAATTTGCCGATTGGTTTGTAATACGTTTTAATAAAATTTATCTTAATATGATAATACTTCTTTGGTCCACTTGTATCCTGCTTAATTTTGACTGAAGTCTTTATTGCAGTTGCATGATAAGATATGTATCTATTCTTTGTTGATTCCAGAAACAATTGCAGAAGTCTGTTTACTTAGGTTTAATTGTATAGGTAGGATTCTGACCTTAGAACAGACCAGAACTTTGAGCAAAGAGTAAGATTTCTCTTTTATTGCCACACATTTGAAGACTCTTTCATCATCTCAGTATGTCTCTCTTCAATGGTCTTGGTTAATGTGAGAATGACATGTATTTGTTAAAAAATAAAAAATGAAAAATTTACTGGTTCCAGTTCTGCAAGATCTGGATGACTAAATGTTAGAGTTATCTTACCAAACTTTTGCAACATAGAAATGAAGCATCCAGTGTAAACTGGGTATCTGGGATCACTGGATGGACAATGGAGATAGAGAGACACCTCCAGATTGTAGCTCATTTCACTTATATTAGGGTAGAATTAATTGTCCTGGAGGCCCCTGGACCATGGTGAGTACGTTAGGCAATTAGCTTGGAATAAACATCCAGCTTTGAAACAAAATAGAAGGAACTGGAGTTCCACTTCTGCATCCAGTGAGCCCCTGTTATCTGGCTGGACCACAGCCTTTGCTAGAGGAATATGAGGATTTTCTTCCTAGTTCTCATTTCTTACTAGCATTCAATTGCCTGAGAAAGAACATATGACGTCTTAAGGTAGGATATCCTTTGAGGAGTATCCAGTTTTAGTGTCTTGCCGAACAAGCGTCTAAAGCAGGAAGATTATGAGATTTGGTCAACTGTGAGTTCTCTAGGTTGATACTCTTCTGCTCAAATACTTGAAAGATTGTAGGAAAAACACACCCTTTTCCTTCCCTATCCCACCCTGCAAAGTTGTGGAGTTTTTGAGAACTGGAAGTCTTTCCAATGATATCACCTGGACCTATATTTTCAGTCATGATTTATTCCTCATACGTCTGATTAAGTTTCTTCATCAGGATGGCAGCATCTTAAGCATTTCCATATTGATAATTTCAAACCAAGATGCAATTCTGAAGTCCTTTTTGACCATAGCTATATATCATTTGGTATGAAAACAGCTAATAGAAAAAAAAGTAAATTACCAGCCACATATTCTATGTCCAAGAAATTAGAAGTGCTTATTTTATATAGCATATTTTATAAGTTGAAGCTTTATTGCCTTAAGAAAATGTCACTGAGTTTAATGCTGTTAAAGTCCCATTAGATCAAACCTCAAGTGGATTGTATGTGGTCATTAGGTATATGTTTTGCAATGTAAAGCTTTTAGCTTTAATTTTGCTGGTTAGGAACATTACCTGGCACTCACTCCATGATATAGGTATGTATTATTCAGAGTTTCTGAAACCATTAGAGTTATCGACAGAACCATCTTATATCTTCTCTGTGTTGAAAGAATCTTTCATTTTTGCTGTCTTTCTGAGCTGCATCAATTATTAAAATGTTCATGAATCTGAAATTGTTCCCAAATATTTTTGCACACATGTTTTTCTGAAGAGATGGTATCAAATGGATTTTATGGCATCAACTGATTTGTTTTATTTGTGTGCTAGGTGGTATCTTGGCCAACAAACAAAATTGCTTTGATGACTTTCAGTGTGCTGCCACATACCTCATCAAGGAAGGCTACACATCCCCAAAGAAGCTGACTATTAATGGAGGCTCAAATGGGGGCCTCTTAGTTGGTAAGAACTGCTCATATATTTCCTGGGTGTGGTGCTGGGTTTATCAAAGTAACCAAACAAGAAATATACGAGATCATCTTTTCAAAAATTGCCAGAATGTCAATACCTTAATATATGCCAGGTGTTAAATATATACACAATTGTGCTTCAATTTGCTGTTTGCATAGGACATTGGGATTCTGCAGCCTCTAGCGAAGGCTGACTGTTAAAAGCCATACTTACAATTACTGCCTTCTGTGGTAGAGCTAACTCTGTGGTAGAATCACACAGTAAGTAAGAATGCTTTAAAAAATATTTGAGGTTTGATTTTTCTTTCTTAAGGCTAACCATTACAAAATAATTACTGAATAACCAGAAATCTGCTATGTAGCATCAGGAAACTTTGTGTGGTCTGTAGCGTAAGCCAGAATCCCATGTCCTGCAGTCCTTCATCAGAGTTTCTCATTTGCTTTTTCTGTAGTCATCCATTCTTGTTCTTAGGGGGCAAATGAAAACATGACACTTGTGTGTTTAAAGCCTTTGTACAGGGACGCACAACAATTTGAATCTACTTTCGTTGTGTAGTTAAAACATGACCACAAATAAAATAATGAATGTCTATAGTGAGAAACATAAAATACAAGTAGAGCTACTTGAAGAAGTCATGAGCCTTTGAGGGACTGTGTAAATGTAGCACTTTGTTACAAATGCATCTTGTTCACATATAATTCGCTGCTGTGTTCTTAATTTCAAAGAAACTGATAGCCTTCTCAAACAGAAAATCTTGTCACAAAAGTGTCTCATAGGCTAAGCAGTATTTAAAGCTCTACAAAATTGATTTCCAATTAAATCTCTGTATATGAAAGTAGTAGAAGAAAAAGATTATTTTGTTCAATTTTGAAAGGAGAAGGAAGCACAAATGAACAATATTAGGGTTTGTATTTTTTTTTAAAGAGCATGAAAGGCATCTGACAGTATGACACCATTGAGCTATTCCTGTGAGAAGAAAAAAAAAGCATTTCAGGTTCATAAAGCACTGATTTATAGAAAATTAGCAGATTTACTAGGCCCACTCTTTGCTTACTCCTCCCTGTTTATCTGCTGCTGAATACTGGCTCTGTTGAATTTATTTTATTTTTCAGTGAACTAGCATCCAGCATAAGAAACAGAATTTGGAGTTATATGGATCTTTGGCCTAAGCCATCTTCGCTAGTCCTGCATTCTTATTTTTGAAAAGCAGTTGTTTTAAAGATAAATAACAAGTACATGTAAAGTTGTATATTTGCTTTCTGCTTATATGCTGCTGGGTTACGGGTGGCAGGAGGTATTTGTGCATTGTAAATAAGAACACCAATAGAAATGGGTGAATATGGTAAAGGATTAAAGGGTTTGCACACCATTGTACTGCAAGCCTTACACAAGTGAATTTTATGTGAGTGTAAATACACAGTTGGAAATGTAGTTAAACTTTCAACATGTTACATAGCTTCTGAAAATACTATTTGATGGTTTCATGGACTTCAGTTTCAGTCAGGAAGAGATTCATCCTACTGAGCTTTAGTTGTCGAAACCCTCGTGTTTCTGGCTGAACAAGTCAGCTGGGCTCCTTGTTTCGATAAGGGGAGGCGAGGGCCATCTGCAGAGTGTACATCACTCCAGGAGGAGACGGGTGTTAGGAGTCGAGACCTCCCCGCTGTGAAAAATCTGTTGTTAGAAACCTTCCCTTGCGTTTGCAGATGGATTACAATCCAGCTGGATTTCCATGCTCTTGATGAGCCAGATAAGGATTTTCCTTGACTGGGTAGAATTAGGTGAATTTAGGAAATTCTGGTATGTGCTTTTTCATCAAACCAGAACTAAATTTTGCAATAGTTGTTCATGCAACACTAGAGAGCATAACTCATGCTTTAGGTGCAAGGACCCACTGCCAGACTTTCTCAGTTCTCATTTAGTGAAGAAAAAACTGAGAAGGAAGAGTTTTGTCACTCTTCTGAAATATTATTCCTTTTAGTCTGACTAACAGGAGGTGTCTCTGAGGAGCGCAGAGCCCTGAGCTCTTGCCCCATTCAACTGCAAAACAAGAATTCCTTGTCCTGCAGTGTGATCCCAAAGCTGAGCGGAGCAGCACAGCTGCGAGCTGAAAGCCTCCTTCATGCAAATACAGTGCTTGACCTCTCATGTTTGCTTAGACAAACAGTTCTGAGGTTTTGAAGTCTTACTTTTGTGCTGAATTTTAAAGCTCAAAGTATGTGTAGAGGAGTAAAATTCACAAATAAGTTGTTGTTCCAGGTTATAGTTTATTAACACATGTAATTAAGTATTATGGCTAATTAAAGGGTTGCAGTGGGAATGGATGAGTGTCTCCATAAGTGATTTCTTACTGAAGTAACTATTTAGGGAACTAGGAGCAGTGATTTTTTTATAAAATTCCAAGGAACAGACAGTGCTTCAAGAGACACTCTGCAATAGAGAGGACTAAAATTAAATGTTATGAGAGTTGTTCTGGCTTTTTTTTCCTACTAGATTATAATTTATTTTCATAAATGGAAATACCATGAAGGGGAGGGATCTGATCGAAAGATTCAGTTAAAATGATAAAGAGCTTTTACGTGGCAGCTATTTAAGGCACTGTATATACCTTATGAAAATGGCTCAGAAAGGACCCGGGAAGAGTTAGCATAATTACATATCAGAGATGACCAGAGGTAAAATCGCATCCTTCAGAAAACAGAAATCACGTTCAAATGAAGAAAACAGGGTAGAGCGTAAAGGGACTGACGGACCACGGGAGACTGATGAGCAAACTGCTTCCAGCATAAAGATTGGCAGTGGAGGCTTTCTGTGCACATCAGAAGCAGGGAGCTGGCTGGAGGGTCTGTGGGACTTAGAGGTTGGTGAGGTGTAAGAGGAGCGCTGAAGAAAGATAATGGCATAGCAGAACAACTAAATGGTCTGTCTATATTGATGTTCCCTCCTGAGGAGCGTGGGGAGTTCGCTGCACCAGAGTCTCTCTTCATGGGGAATACTCTGAGGAGCTGACTCAAGCTGAAGCATCAGCAGAAGAGTTTTTGGAAGAAATCAATCAAACAGGAAGTAGTGTGTTGCCGGGACCAGATGGTGCACACGCAAGATCCTCAGTGAACTCTGGTATGAAATTACAGGCTACTAAGCCTGAATAACTGAGGAACAGAAGGGGGCAAGTGGAACGCCAATTTTTAAATGGTTCATGGTGATCCACAAGCTGCAAATGAGTAAATGTGACTTCTCTAATGGGCAAACCAACTGAAACTAAAAAACAATAGCAGGCATATAAGGGACAGTTTTTCAGGCTGAAGTTACATCTTGCAAATCTGTTAGAGCTATTTGAAGGAGTCAGGCAGGGTATGGTGCTTGTAACAGTGGTGGAGGTGAGGAGTTAATTGTGGATTTTCAAAAGCTTTTGACAAGGCCCCTCGCATGAGGCTAGGCAAGAAAGTTCTTGCTGAGCTGGAAGCAAGATTGTGTCATAGGAATGTCCTGGTTGGCAGGAGGCAACGAATGGGAATAAACAATCCATTTTCGCAATGAACAAAGATGAGGAGATACAGGAATCTGGAAAAGAGTATACCTATGTGTGGATATACAGTGGTTAGCTCTGAATTAAGAAAGGGATTCTGGGATCCTTTGTAGTTGTTATGTGAAAATCTCAGTGCTCTTATTTCTTGAAATTCAAAAAAAGCAGGGGAATTTGTAAAATCACCAGGCAACAGATTTAAATGAAGCAACAGAAATTGGAATTGAATAACTTATTGCTACAGGGTATGGTGAGCACTACATGAATAAACATTAAGAAAGGAAATAGATGTGTTTACGGAGGATATGTGTTTTGATGACTGTTTAACAGGGTGGCTGGAGATGACTCCAACTCAGGGAAGACCTAAACAACTAGTTCAAAATCTGATAATGTACAGGAAATACCTCCCAGTATTTGCTTAACGCCTTTTCCCAGAGCATCTGGCAGTTGCCACTCTTAGAAATTGAACACTAAGCTAGATGGGCCCACTGTGGTTATTTATAAAATACATGAGGCAAGTGTTACACTTAAAGAAATTGTCCTTTCCAGTAGCAGGAAGATGGAAATCATACAGAAAAGAAAATACAACAGTAATTTGCTTTATTAAAATGAGTTTATTCCTCTGATTTTGTAGTAGTCTGCTTTTATTAAAACTCTTTTCATAGGGGTTTACATAGTAATTATGGAAGAAAAGTTTCATCAATAAATGGAGGGCTTTTGCTCCTTAATGCTCTTTCCTTTGTTGATAATAATATCAAAAGTTTAGACAATGAATGGTTTAGGAAACTTCAGGAGTCCACAAGCTTACATATTTTAAAAGTGCATGTCTCCTTTAAACCCAGTTTGCTAGTTTGGAAGGCAGTTTTCAAAGAACAGCTGATTTGATGCCTGAAGAACAGGGAAATAGCTCTCAAGCTCTTTTGAAAATACCATCTTTGGGAGTTATAATTTTTATCCACTTGTGTATTTGCTTTCAGTTTTGCTTAAAAATCTGTTTGACTTCATATTCCTTGGCAGTCTTCTTCCAGTGCATTTTGGTTTTTATCAGATATTTTATACTGAAATGTTTTCGCTCCAGGTATTATATGATAACCTATATTTCTTCTCACATTGTTTTAACTTAACGGTTTTACTTTTTTTTCTTAAAAAAAAAAAAAGAAACTGAGTTTATAAAAGACAGCTTTTTTGGAATTTGGTCTTTCATGAACTTGGCAGTGGACCTTTCACTACTGAGCTTAATTCTTTAAGATATGAATACTAATAGAGTTGTTTTCCTGTCGAAGCTGCCTGTGCTAATCAGCGCCCCGACCTCTTTGGTTGTGCTATTGCCCAAGTGGGAGTGATGGACATGCTCAAGTTCCACAAGTACACCATTGGCCATGCTTGGACCACTGACTACGGTTGCTCCGACTGTAAAGAGCAGTTTGAATGGCTGTGCAAGTAAGTGGCTTTAAATACTTCTGAGGTTGTTAAAAATGCATAGTCTGCTCAACAGTTTCAGGTTGTTGTGGTCAATATCTATTCTAAGAATTATTTCGTCCTTTCCCACACTGGATTTGGGGAGTTCAGCATATCCTTACGAGTCAGTTTTGCATGAAAGACTATCTTCAAAGCCCTGTTGAGTCAGCTGGTCATATTTGCAAAGACCTTGTTCTGCTAGCAGCTTTAACAACTTGTAAGGTTTTCTTTCTCAATAATGTGTCCTTTAGGCTGTCACAACAGAATATTCTCAAGTGAACCACTATATAAATTGTATTTTTTATGATGGGGGTGATACAATCACCATTGTGAATTATATTATACAATGTGGATTGGATTTATTTGTAGGAATTGAATGGCAGTAGACCATAACAGGATATTAATTAATTTCTTAACTCCTTGCTGAGAGGTCTGGAAAGATTATTTAAAAAAAAAAAAAGAGAGATGCGAAAGACCGCTGTGTGAGAACAGAAATTACCTGCACATTGTATATGGCTGATAATGAGCATGCTAGAATAAGTGCCATGATTTTAAAATATTTTTCTGGAACCTCGTCTTCTGTTATTGCATTTGTATTCCTTTAATAATGAAGATTGACATTGCAGGAGAATTCATCAGACACACTAAACAATTTGATTGGAATGTTTAAATATTGTGGATTTTAGAGTGTTTAGGTGTGAAAAAGTACATGTGCTATAAGTACACTGAGATCTAACTTATTCTAAAGCATTTATTTAAAAAAAAAAAAAAAGTCAAGTCCGTATACTAGATGATCGGTTGGGCCCATTGTAATTACATTGTTTCAAAACCTCCAGTTGTCTAATTTAAGCTTTTGGTGGCAAACACATTTTTGTAAATACAATGCACAAAACAATTAACAAATTATGTAACTCATCCTTAATCAATAGATAACTTAGATCTTATATAATAGATAAAATATTAACTATTATAAAAATGGTCCAAATGATCTTCATGATTTTGGACACTGAACCTTGCCTGCACATCTGTGAATTCAGATACTTGGAAGAGGTAAAGTGGAAGGAAAGTTTGAAGTTCATTCTGTGATTGGGAGGAATGCATCTGTAGGAAGGAGTCACTCCATACCTACTTACACACATGCTTACTCACAAAATCTCAGTGCATAATTTTAGAAACATCTTACATGGCAACACCTGAAATATTTCTTTGCCTCCTTTTGAACAGCTGTCAATTGCTTATCAAATGTAGGAAGATATATATGTAATGTTGCTTAGATATTGTCTTTACAGATACCCGAAAAATACATAAGGCAAGTAGAGCGGCATGTAGTGACTGTCATTTAACTTATTTTCGAAACGAAGCATCATCTGCAAATTCACTTACAATATAAAAGCAGAAAATGAGGAAGCCAGGAATCTGTTAGGCTAGACGTTCAAATATTGTCACGTGTTCTTACAAATAATATGCACTTACTTAATGGGTACTCCTCCAAGTGGAAAATTAATTCAAAAATAAAGAAAAATTTACTTCTATATTTCCTGTCATGAAGTAGGAGGAAGAAATAGTATCCTACTGTTGACTTAAGGAATGTAAAGTTCTTTCTAGATGTAGCTTTGTCTCAGTGAAGCATGCAATAGTTAGATGGAATTCTTTCTGACTTACTATTATGTTTAATTTCTAATGCTAGAAAGTACTTTGTGTTGAAATGTATAGATACACTTTTTATGTTATGTTACAGCAGTTAAAAGATGTAAATTCTCCTGCAAAGAAGACAAATTTTGAAAGTTAGATTATTCATTGCTCAAAAAATAGGAATCAAGGTCATCTATCGAAAGCAGGAAAACTTACAGTTCTCCTTCCAGTTTCCTGCATGGTGTTCCCTCAGAGTACATGCATGTTCAGAGGTGTCCTAAATATTGCAGGGAGTAAATTTAGTAACTGTACAGCACTTGTGGCTTACCATCAGAGACTGCTTCCAAATTTGCATGGGAAGAAGCCATCCGCGTACAGACCTGGACTACGTATGTATGCTGGGAAAACGTCTCTATTTCCCTGTTTCCCAGCAGGATGTGTACAGCTATGGACTTGACAGCTTTTGCTGTAGTCTCTCTGTTGCCCATTCCTCATATTTTTGACATTTCTTTGAGATGTGTGCATATGCCTCTGAAATTAAAGAAGTGTGCTTGCTTCACATTTGAGAGCCAGAGATCTGTGGCCACTACCACGTATCAGTTGCCAGTACTGCAATTCTGATTTATGCAACTGAGAACTGTAGTATTCTGAGTGCTACCAAATGCCACTGTGACGATTTTAGTGTGAGAGGACCTTCTTGTTGGGTCTTGAGGAAAAAATATGTAAACATCTGTGTGCTCTTCTCAGGTACTCTCCGCTTCACAATATCAAACTGCCGGAAGACGATGGCATCCAGTATCCCTCCACGCTGCTTCTCACAGCTGACCATGATGATCGTGTGGTCCCTCTACATTCACTGAAGTTTATCGCTACTCTGCAATATGTCGTGGGCCGAAGCCGTAAACAAACCAATCCACTTCTCATCCATGTTGACACCAAGGCTGGGCACGGAGCAGGAAAGCCAACTGCTAAAGTTATAGAAGAAGTGTCAGATATGTTTGCTTTTATAGCACGATGCCTAAATCTTGATTGGATTGAATAGGCAAAGTGCTTATTACTGTCTCTTTTAGAAAACAAGGGCTTTAACACCAGTTAAGACCAACCAGACTACTACTTGGTGTAGTACTTACATTTAAGAACTGCAGTTTAATATTTTGTTGATCCAACCTGCTATGGAGTTTTAATCTTCTGTGCTTCCCTCTTTTTAGCATTTCTTTGAATTTCTTTTCTACTGCGTTCCAAAGTACATTTTGAAAAGCATGTTCAAATAAATAGCTGAGCTACTGTCGGTGCTGTTGTGAACATTTAGATTCCAGGGCTAGTGCTAGTTGAGCTTATTTCCTGTAAACAATTTTAATGTATTTTGCACCTGTAATCATATCCAGATCATCTGTAATTAAATGTAAGTACTGTCCACATACAAGAACTCTGAGCATACTTTATTTACACAGTAACTTATTTAAGAATGTAAATTGAAGGTATTCAGTAATAACCATGAAATACTGAAGAGACAGTAATTTGGGTAATGAAGTCAAATATTATTAAAAAGCTTATATTACATGCTGTTCATAAGTGTGTTACAGTCTATAATAATGATGTTGCTAAATTGTTCTTTCTTTCCAAAGAGACTTCACAGTGTCACCAGTTTTCTCTTCTGTCATTTATTTCCACACAGAAGAGAAAACTGGAGGCCAAACTTGAAGAACTCTTAGATTCTCACTGTAATCTCAGTCGAGCTATACAGATACTCTTCAACAACCCCTCTGCTGTTAGCTCTTTAGCTGTTTCTGAAGAGTAGACCAGACACTGGTTTAAAAAAAAAAAACAACTAAAAACAAAAAAAAACCAAAACACCAAAAACCAACCCAAAACCACAGTTTTGTTGAAGTTCAGTTTTTCCTGATGCCTTTGACAAAATGTTCTCTAACAAGGCAAAATCTGAACATATGTATATAACCTAGTTCTCGCTGCAGAACAAGAGCTTGTAGTCAGACTCCCTAATAATTTGACACAGGCACAGTATTTGAGCCGCCATTTCCTGTCTTTCCCTTCTAGGCTGTAGGGCCATAAAGTAGATGTGAGTATTTGCCTAAGTGCTGTCTAAACTCTGATGCGCTGCAGCAATTATTGTTTGATTTTGTAGAGCAAAAAAGTATTCTACCAATTATTCCTAGTCTTGTTGCCCCTCCAGAAAATGCTGCTACTTCTTAGTTTTGGATAAACTGATTTATTCTTCCAGAATCATGTTTGTCGTTATATTCATGTTCAGACCCTGAGGTCTGGGCTCGGGAGTTTGGTCTCTAAACACTGTCTCAGCCCAGGAAGAGAGGGAGTGGTATTTAGAAGACGAGTAGGCTGCTGTAAACAGCAGCAAAATCAGAAATAAATTTGGACCAGATTCACTCTGTTTCTCTCATGCTCTGAGGCTTCTGCTGATTCCCTCTGCAATCCAGGAAGGATCATCCTTCCCAGGCCCTTATGAATAATTTGATTTTAGGAGGGGGAAAAAAACAGGATTTCTACTTTCCTATGACATACTACATCTAAAACCTGTATGTTATCTGGGGTTTATTTGGTAAAACTGTAATGCCCATGGATCACAGATACTATATGGGCTGATGCATTCTGATCACAGCATTGAATTAAACAAGCAGAATAGAGAGTTGAGGGAGGATTGGTTTTTTTTCCCTCCAGGCTGTGAAAACAGGGTTCACGTTCAACACCCGCTTTTCCCAGAAGTATGTGAACTGCTTTCTGTGATCATTGGGAAGCTTCCCAGCATGGCAGAAATACAGCACGTAAGCAGTGCCATCTCTGCCAGTAACACCTCAGGCATCTGGCCTTTTATTGAATGTTACAGTATCATCAAGAGGGCAGAGCTTGGTCTCTGAGATGGGAGCTTTGGAGGACAGGGTGTGTGGAAAACATGGTCCTCAGGTGTTTGTGAAGTAGAGCTGGACTGTGTCAGTGCACTGAGTTGCAATGAACTGCCACCTCAACCATCTCTTCAGGTCTTTGTTCCTAAAAGTGCTTTTCCTTGTTCTCCAGCTGCTCAAACACAAAACTTCTGGTACAGGTTAAAAATCGTTTATTTTCCTCCTGAAGCTTTCTGCTGAAGCTGAGTTCCCTGAAGTATCAGGGCAGATGACCAATAATGTGGGGAGTTTGGAAGCAAAGATTTCTCTTTGAGTGACAATCAATAGTATTGAAGGTGGAGCTGGCTTGCTGGAGACACCACTCACAAGAAGTGTTCGAGAATATCCCTTGTGGAATGCTGGTATCTCTGTTAGGAAAGCATTGTGTTTCTATAATAAGGTCTTAATATCAACATTTTAATCGATCTTAATCAGGTATGCCAAGTACAGGATTCAGGTGCCAAAACAGCGATGTTGCAGAGCTGTCCTATTAGCTGAGTTGCTCCTTTCGGTGCAGGAAGGGTCATGCCTCCAGCTGGAATCCATAATTAACTCCGAGTGAGTAATGCTCTTGTAATATTGTGGGATTTAAACCTTCAGGGTTTGGATTAAATAGACCTGGTGCCAAATCTTTAAATCATTCGTGCTGTATAAAACCTAACTAAATCTCTGTTAGTCTGGTTTCAACATTTCTTCTTTTCTAAGGTGGAAATGCTATTTCATGGAGAGGCTCTGTATTTTGTGTCTTTAATTTCCAGTGCACGAAGCAAAATTCACTAGCAGGACAAGGTTACCTCCTCACAACTATCTGCTTGTTCAAAATTATGTTTCCTGGGGAAAAAAGGTACCAATGTTTGTGCCAAGATCAAAAGCAGAAAAACTTTTAGAGTCCTGTAATAGGCTTATGCTACATGAATCCAAATCTGTTTTTAAGTGGAAATAAATGAACTTTTTACGTATTGCTCCTTCTAATACTCTTCACAACTAATGTAAAGATATCTTAGTTGTCTTTGCTCCCATGAGAATACATTTACATCATAGTTGATTTATGTGGAAAAGGTCAGAAGTATTTTTAAAAGCTGATAGTCTTCATATTCTTCACAGAAAGAGATATTTGGATTCTCTTGCATCACAGTTAATTCACATTTTGGTAGCTGAAAAAAAAAAAGAAACAAGATACTGACTTCAGATAGGTGCTGCACCCTCCCCAGCAATATAACCACCAAGATCTAAGGGTGAAAGAAAGGCAGCTGGCTTATGGATATGTAAGAATTAAGGACACTCAGGACAGTTTGGGGACACCTGTTCCTGGCACCTCAGACTTCTCGCGTTTCACTGGGATTTTCTTGACCTGACTCTACTTTGCCATCTGTCTGTAGGGAGGCAGAAACATGAGCAGCTGTACTTTGGATTCGATGTGGCAAGCAACAGCTTTCAAACATCTATGTTGTCAGGTCATTTATTTATTTTTAGTCTGAGGTAGCCCCTTAGGATTGCCTGAAGATCTGCTTATAGACTCTTCCTGACAGCTTCTCCTGTGAAAGGGGTTTTCCAAGCTGAGCAGGGTCTAAGGGGGTATGGCCGAGGGAGGGCCTTGGAAGCCAAGCTAATCAACAACTACCCAATTTTCTGCCAAACTTTTCTACTTTGAAAATCTTTAGTAGACAGCTTTTGTGCAATTGCCTCGCTGTGCAGACCTCTCAGGACTTGGATAGTCCTTGCTGTTTGAGCAGCCAGGTTTGGCAACTTCGTTCATTTCTCCGTATGTTCTTTTAATTACTTCTGCCTTACTGGTACTGCATGCCAGGAAAAGAAAAAGCGTTCCTCTGGCTTTTCTTTTCCTTGCCCCTGCAGGAAGGGGAGGTGGCGTAGCCTTCCAATTCTTATGTCTCTGAAGGTAACCAAGGTGTGTCCTGAAGATAACATTATTCCTGAATACCCGTTTCTGAATAAGCTCAGGTCTTCAGTTTATTCATGGCAGAGAAATCCCAGTGATGGAGTCCCTCAGTGGATTTTTTTTTAGCCACTGGCATCTGCAGAAATGAACTTAAATTCTGGATTAGGAGGACTGTGATTTGGCCATTTCTCCTAATTTTCCGTAAGAAGACTAACAGAAAATTCAGCACTTAAAACCGAAGCTGAGCCATAACATATCAGTGAGAATCTCTGTTCTGTAGACATCCCTCTGCCTTGCTAGCAGGAGTAACAGAGGCAAGGAACAAACTTAGTGCTCGTGCCCTTACCCATAGCAGGGTAAGTTTAATGCTGGAAGTCTGAATGGCAAGAGTCAGTTCGTGGCGATTTGCACTGAACGTTTCCAGCTTCCGCAGTAGATGCAGCACAAGAGCTGGAGTCAATGGATGGATGGTGTCTCTGCAAATGCGGCGTTTCTAGCCTGCCACGTGCAGTTCAGAAGGCTGCAGTTTGTGCATGTGCACTACTTCCAATGCCTCTCGGGTCTTCTCTGTGCGAAAAGGAAGGAGATGTTATTCTTGAACCCCTTAAAGTGGGGGGGGCACATGCTATTTTAAGTAACATTCGTATTAGGTAGGTATCTGATAGTGCTAACTGAACCATTAAATTATATAATTGTCTGTAACTTAAACAGGGCAATATTAGGCGCAAAACATTATCTATAATTTTCATCTTAGCATCACTGTCAAAATACTGGGGAAACAATCAGAAGAAAAGTGATACAAAGGGCTTGGTTTTGTAGTATTCATATTGATTTGACCCTTCCGGTGCTTCAGGAAACTGGATGAACATTCACCGTGTGGGTTCCAAAATAAGCATTCCCCCAGACACTGAGGGAGGTGGAATTACCGGGGTTTAGGTAACAAGGTTGTATTACAAATGTAAGACTGCCCACAGCGAAGCTACAGACCAGCTGTAGGTTGAGCTGCGTGAAATACCTTAATTCAGCAGGGGCACCTGAAATCATACAGGTGGTAATTCCATTTAGTTCTTAGCACCATCATTTTCTTGCTGCTTTTCTTTCCCTGCGAAGAGCTGTACTTAACCTCTGACATCTCCTGAGTAGAGGAACAGATGAACATGAAGATATATTGCGTTTCAGTGATGCCATCAAATATATTGTCTTCTCCTGTGGGACTTTGAAAGTGTCAGAAGACAAAAGCAACAGTGAAAAAATTAATGTTTGCTTTGCCACCTAGCAGTCATTGAACTACTGTGAGCATACTAAGTAACAGAGGAATTTATTCATTAGTTAACTGTTATACGCCAGTTAATGCAATTTTTTTAGAAGTTCAGATGAGAATGCTTAGCCGGTGAAAAACTGCTTTCTGGGCTGCTTCATGCTTTTAGGCCATTGCTGGTCTACAAGAACAGCATGTCATTGTGACAGCAAGTGATGAAGTGCTGTAATGTGACTGTTGCTTCCTTCCTGGGAAAGGAACTAAATAAAGGGCTCGGGCATCTCACTATTCAGAATTCTCTGGAGCTGTGACAGGAGCAGATAAACAATACTTATGGTCTTCTGGTTATTTCAAATGAAACAGTGTCCTCTCTCAACAGAATATGATGTTTTCTGGTAGTGTTCTATTTCGGAAGAAGCTCTGCTGTAGTAGAACAAGCTTTGAAATGTAGGTATGTGCAGGTATCTGTTTCAGTAGCTGGACCAAGCTGTTAAATACTTCC